TTGATAGATGGATTTATTATTCGTTTTGTTATTCCTACTACTATTGCACCTCGATATGATTCTAAACAAGGTGGAATTTCATCACCTGCAAGTACTAATTCTAAATATGTTCAGAAAAGTCCGTATACTATTAAATTTTATTGTTTGATCAAGAAGATAGTTGGAGAGACTGGAGAGTTAATTCGTAAAGTTAGTTCATCATCTCATCCAATTAAAATTGATTTTAATCAACAAGACGCTTATGTAGTAACATTTGATCAAGAAAATACTCAATTAGATCGAGATATTCTTATTAATATTGAATTGGCTGAAAAACAAGTTAATACTATTTTGACTATCGAATCAAATGCTGTCATGGCTACATTTATTCCTAGTGAAGAAGATTGTCGACAAGCGCGAAATAGTGAAGAGACCAATGAATTTATCTTTATCGTTGACTGTAGTGGATCAATGACATCAGACAACAAGATTGGTTTGACTCGAGAGGCTGTTATGCTATTTTTGAAAAGTCTTCCTGATAATTCTCAATTTAACATCATTCGATTTGGCTCTGATTTTACAGCTTTATTCTCTGAGATTACTGTTGTCTATAATAAAGCAAATATTCGACAAGCCCAACAGATGGTTACTCACATGCAGGCTAATTTAGGTGGAACTGAATTAGTAAGTTTCATCATTTGATTTCATACAATCTCACTGTTGCTTTTTTTTAATAGTTAGCACCATTACAATGGTTAAAAAGACATCCTCCAGTAAAAGGTCGTTCTCGTCAAATCTTTCTTCTTACTGATGGAGAAATTTCTGATGTCTCTGCAGTACTTGATTTATGTCGATCGATGGCTTCATCTACTCGTATTTTCTCATTTGGCTTAGGTATGTCACCTAGTCGAGCGCTTGTTAAAGGTCTTGCTCGAGCGACGAATGGTCGATTTGTCTTCATTCCACCAAACAGTAGAGTTGATGTATACGTCAAGGAACAACTTCATAGAGCTCTACAACCAAGCATTACTAATGTTCAAGTAAAATGGAATTTTGGTGAGATTGATGTACACACCGCACCTACACAATTGCCTCCTGTTTATGCTAATGATCGTTTGATTATTTATGGTCTCATGGATAATATCAGTACTTTACCATCAGATGTTAATCTTTCTGTAGAACTCTATACGAAAGAAGATCATCATCGATTAGGTGAGGCAAGAATTGAACGAATATCCAGTATAGATAACAAAGGATCAATTGCACGTCTTGCTGCTAAAGCTCTCATTCTCGAACTACAACATGCTAAGAAGGCACCAACGGGCTCATTACAATCACGTTTTCAAGACGAAACAGATTTAAAAGAGAACACGACAGAAATGGAAGAAACAACAAAAAAACGCATTATTGAACTGTCCTTAAATTACAGTATTTTGACTCCATATACAGCATTTGTGGGCATAGAGAAACGAATGAATCAAAGTAATATTGATATGGTTCTTCGCGAAGTACCAATTCAAGTATCAGCCGATGATCAGCATTTGATATTATCGTCAATGATAACCAATAAATGTGATCCATCATCAGGAAGTTGCTCGTTTTTAAGCCTCAATGGCATGGGCTCCTTTAACAGTGGCCAACATCAAATGATTTCACATATGACTATTCTTGCTTCTTTCTTACTTTTCCTTGCCTTCTTTTTCACAGTATAATAGAGTTTATTACTGTATCACTTGTCAACAACCAAGAATTTGTTTCTTTGTCATATCTTATAGTATTCTTTGTGGATATTACTTACTGATCTAATTCAGTATATCGTTTTATGAAAACTAGGGGTGCAACAAATCTCTAACACATTTGGGATTTGGAACCAAATCTATAAGATTTAGATTTGGATTTGGGATTTGGTTTCAATCTAACATGACTTGAACTTTTGATTTATGATAGAATGAAACCAAATCCAAACCCGAATTTTAAACACTCAAATCCCAAACCCAAATCCAAATTTATACCAAATCTAAGCCGCTTTTTATCAATTTTGAAGACTTTCGATTCTTTTCATTCTTTTGGTACTTTTTCTTACAGTGCTTCATCGAATTTGGGTAATTTGAGACCAAACCAAAACCCAAATCTTTCTACATAAAATCCCAAAGGTTTGGATTTGTTGTACCCCTATTTGTATCTCTAATAGTCTAATATAAAATATACTTGTATAATATCCTTCTTTTCATATTCTAAAAATGTAAAAGCAATAATGTACAATTATCTTTAAATTTTACGTACAATAAAAATATTAATTGAATAATCTTATTAATAGAATAAATATCTTTAATTTTTTAATAAAATGTTAACTGAATCTATAATACTGATTGAATTAAAGAATAGATATTGCACTAATTTATGAATTCTTTCAAATGTTTTTTTTTTTCATAAATAATTTAGCTAATTATATATTTACTACACACAATGAATGTTCAGAATTTTTTTTAAAATATCAAAAAACAACATAGTTATCATATAACAATGGTCTATTATTTTATTAGCATTTTCCATTGTATGTTATGGAAATAATTGTAGTCCATATACAATAATATAATCAATGATAATTATACTCCTGAATTTAGTATAAATTTTCAGTTCGGAGGCTCATATAGGGTCATACATGTCTAATCATAGCCGAAAGTATATATTACCAATTAACTGTTGCTAGCTATATATATATAGGGCTTTAGTCTTTGTATAATCATCAAGAATATTCTGGTTCACTTGATTTTACATTTAATCAAGCTGATACAGATGCATATACTGCATAAATTAGTATAATATTAATAGGAAATGATAATATTTTTAAGTGTAATTTACTCAACTATCGGGTTATTAATGATGAACCATCAAATCTTGAATAAAAAATAAACTTGATATGAACATTATTTATTGTAGAATTCAATTTCAAAAAATTTTTTACCGTATAAACTGAACTTGTTTATTGAACTTTGAAAGAATATTTTTGTGTAAGTACCATCGATATTGTCTGTTCTTTTTTTAATAGAACTTATGCCATGTTATGATGTTTGTCACAAAAAAAAGAAAATGAAGTACTTAGTATTTGTCGAATGAATCCAAAGAGTCATACTATAAAAATATTATGAAATAAATACATCTTTACTATTTGTTATTAAAGATAAGTATTAATCAATCTGTAGATAGTATTTAATCATGACTAAACATTTAATAGACAAAATAAAAAAATAATCTATATATTGCAGTAGAAATTAAAATGAATTTTATCATTTTATTATCATAAAATCGAATACAGCCTTCAAATACGAAGACTTACTAAATAAAGAAATGAACAATTATTTCATATATGGTATTTGATTAATTCCTTTTTCATATTACTAAAAAAGATATCCGGACAAGATGTAGCTACTACTATGTATCGAACTCATAAGGTGTGGGGTGGATATGAGTATGGACAAACAAACGAAACATACCTACATCAAATCATTCACATCGACACCCTAAAGTCAAATGACATCCAACACTTACGAGGGAACCTTCCGAGGTGCTAAAAAGCTTTTGAGCCCAAATTTTGTCCATAAGTAGGGAATATATAGACTAGAAAAAACCTACGATGATATCGGCCCAAGTTGCAATTTGGCTGAGATATCAGCTTTTTACTAGTATTTTCCTATAGGACCCCATATCCCCGATAAGATGAAAGTTTCGAGTTTTGAAGTGAAATTTTGTTCATATCAAGGTCTCGACTAGAGTGGCTTATCTACAAAGTTTCAAAGTTCTTATACTAAGTATTACCGAGATATTAGCCTGTTATCATGAACACGCTTTTTACGGATATCCTTTTACGCATAGATATTTTGAAAATATTATATCTCGGTAATGCTTAGTCTAAAAACTTTGAAACTTTGTAGATAAGCCACTCTAGTCGAGACCTTGATATGGACAAAATTTCACTTCAAAACTCGAAACTTTCATCTTATCGGGAAAATGGGGTCCTATAGGAAAATTCTAGTAAAAAGTTGATATCTCAGCCAAATCGCTACTTGGGCCGATATCATCTTAGGCTTTTTCTAGTCTATATATCCCCTACCAATGGACAAAATTTGGGCTCAAAAGCTTTTTAGCACCTCGGAAGGTTCCCTCGTTAGATATGTTTCCTCATAAAACTTTCGCACCATCGATTACACCATTTCAGAATAACTATATATCGAAATCTGACAATTTCTTTTTGATTTGTGTTTAAATAAACAAATAAATAACAGCTGATTGTTCTTGTAAGATAATTACCTAACATAACAGTAACTATTGAAGTAAACCATTCTTGACTCTATAGATATTTTCTTTTCTCTGTGTGTGTATTTGTTCAGTATATAATTTTAACCAGTGAGAGAAAAAAAAATGCATTTCAACGACATCTGCCTATGAATAAAAATTCTTTACGTATGCAAAGTGATTCTAAAGATTATACATGATCTCAATCAATTTAACTTAAATATGATGAAAATTAATAAAAGAAAAAGAAATTCTAACATTGTGTAATTGATTATCGCATCGAGTATCTAAATAGCAGATGTAAATATTAACACAAAGTATATTTGACTTTAGCTATTATCCTTAACAAAAACTATGATTACTATTAAATTTTTCAAGGATTATTTTAAATTAAAATCTTACGGTTTGATTTTCAGCTATTTGTCGTTGAATAGCATCCATATCTTTACGATCAGTTTTTCTTAAATTAGTTACTTACTTCATTATATTGTACTCGTAGTTGTTCAACTTCTTTTTCAGTTTGTTGTGCAGCAGCAGCATTATCATATTTTGTAGAATCAATTAATTTACTTGCTTCATTCTTTTCAATATCATACATTTGTTTAATACGTGATGAATCTCTTGAAAAAGAAAAAAAGAAAATAAAATAATTGTTTTTACTTATACTTACTGTCCTGCACGACTTCGTAATACATCTAATTCCATTTGTAATTTTTTATTTTGTATTTCTAAAAATTTACTTTTTCAACATATTGTACAAGTTTATCATTTAATTGTTCAAGTTCATGTTTTTCGCGTTGACGTGTTGCATTAAAATCAGCTAAAGCAGTACTCGTACTGCCTGGAACACGCAATGACACACCAGGAAAACTTACTAAAGGACCACAACCACCACGAATTGCTTGAAAGTTTTGATATACTCGTGTCATGTCACCACCACCACCGAAGAAACTATTCAAAAATTATTTGTTGCTTTTTTTCTTGTCTATGAGATTTTCAGTTTCACTTATCCAAATTAAATAAGAACCAGTAATAGTGTTTCAACATTATTTGAAGAGAATAAAATAGAATCAATTTTGTTACATTACAGTCTTCAGAGATCATTCTCAGCGAATCTACAATTGAATAATCAAGAAAATGTTGCAAAAATTGAAGAAGTTCATCATCTGTTGAAGATGGTTTAAAATTCGGTACATTATGTTCATCATTCAAAATCTAAACATTCAATGTTCGCAGGTACAACATTGAATAGACAAGTTCAAGTACATCCATCGAATTTTCAACTTTAATTCGAAGAACTTCACATTGCATGCTCAATGGAGAATTACATAATTCAATGCATTGTTACCCATTGAACCATTGCCAATCCTTATATTCGATATATTCATAGAAATCAAGACGGCAGATCGATACGTTACTGTCTTTGAATAGTGCCAATTCTGGAAGTGAGAGTTTATCACAAGTGAGTTTTAATGAATAAAGATTTGGTGTTCATCAAGGAACATTTGTAAGGATGCGGGTCTTCTTGTTTCGTTCACCCACACTCACCCTCTTAATCGCTGACATACGTACTACTAAAACATTGACTTTTATTTAACACATCCAATGTATGTGGAAAGAATACTGCAATACCTCAACAAGTTACGTAGTCATGTTTATATCTTTTATGAAATCGAAAAAAAAAGCATGAGATGAAATAATGTATTTGCTATTGTTCACCTCTTTCTGCAACATGCACATTCAAACACAGATTCGATGATGAATTTATTCTTTCAAAAAATGTCTCATATTATCTTGCAGAACGAAGTATATATAAAATTCCTACACACTTTGTATAGGATCCTATTTCGGCATATTACATAGCTTCGTATAACGATCATATTTATCCGTATTGTATAACACGAAATACGATCGTTATAGGGAACCACATAATGCTCAAAAATATAATGTTTTACAATCGTTTACAAGCGTTTTTTGTTCGACCTTGATGTGTAAAATATTAACTTACCTACTGACGTTGCTTAAAGATCAAAGAGAAAAATGTACTGTGAAAGCTGCTAGTTGGACGTCGTCTTTAAATGCAATCTCTTTTTCTTTTCTTTCTTTGGAGAAAGAAAACATAAAACGCATCGAATATTCACTGAATAACAGTCGAAAGTCTTGATCAATAGTTATTAATTATTTCAAATTAAGAATGAAATATCTTTCGGAAATTATAGTATAAATAAAAATAAGATATTTGATTTCGAATAAAATTAGCAATATAAATTCTAAATAAAATATAAATACATCAAACCATGAAAAGAAATCTTAAAGAGCGTTCTAGCGGTCAATTCAAAACTTGATATATGACCACTGCGTTTGTAAAGTGAACGATGTATACTATTTAGAAGTCGATTTCATACTTATAACGTTAGAAAACTAAAGAATGATTGATGCTAATTCGACGAATGATCTGTTCTGAACCGATTCAGAAAACGTATATCTGATTTAGACTGTAAAAAACAACAAAAAATAGACCGAAATAAAATCGATAAAAATTATCAGCCCAATTTTAAAATTGATAATAGCTGAACTATTTCATGAATCTTATTGAGTTCTGTTTTTTTAGTTTTGGAAAAAATGTTCAAATTTAGAAAATGATATTGACAATTACTTAGATTTTTGCTGTTTCAACTGTCAATAGACGTTTAATTGAATTATGGCTTTATTATTTTGTGAATCATTTTAAAAAAACGAAATGAAGAATGTGCTTCACCTTTCATATTCTGATCTGCATATCATAGAAATCTGATTCATACTACATCAAAGTTAGATTTGCTTAGTAAGAGAATATTTATCATATAACCTTCGCACGTGTTTATTGATAAACAATATAAAATCATATTTTCTTTTGAATTTTGAGACAAACACAAAATGTTGCCCTTATTACTAATTTTACTGCTAACGATAGATATTGATTATGCTCTCCAATGTAGAACCAACTGTTCGCTTGGTAGTTATCGTTTTGGTCAAACATTTAATATTCCTGACGAGCAATGTCAACAATGGAAATCAGTATCTGCTTGCTCTATTGAGATCGCATTCATGTATCACGATTATTCGTATTTTGTAGAATATGACAGTTTTATGGTGTCGACCGATTCTTTTTATATAACATCTGGACCCTACCTCTCTTATTCAATCAATTATCAATGTTTGAAAGGAACTGATTGTGATCTTTTATACGCACAGAACAGAATCGATGAAATGGTTGATCGTAACTATAATGCACGAATCATATATGGACAACTTGCTCCAATTATTGAAAATCCTTTCAGAAATGGTTCAATTCAATGTTATAACATGAAAAATGAAATAGTTACATGCTCATCTGATCAAATGTGCTCTATAGTTTATGATCAACGAGAAGATATAGTCAGATCACGTGATTGTGAGGAAAATTATAAGCCCGGAGTTTATGTTTTTGATGGCGAACATCATTCAACATTTGATATTGAATGTAATCGTAATTTATGCAATACTGATGAAACACTTTCACAAGTTAAAAATATATTCAACAATCATGGTTTAACAGATGCTAACGGACGACGAATTGCTGATGGAAATAAAAAAATGGTTTCTTCTTTCTTAATGACATTAGCTATGATTTTCATTATTTTTTATCATTTTTAAAATAAAAAACAAAAATTATTATTTTAAAATTTCATCAGTTGATGTGCAATTTTTTTCTTGGATCATATATATTTAATGTAATGAATGAAAATAGTTACATATATAGTCCAATATAAAACAATTAAAAGTGATATTTCAATTTAAATAGACTCAAATGACTTTCTTATGTCAAGACAGAAAAAAAAGATCCTAGAATAATACGGCTTATTAGAAATCAACAAAAAAGTCATATAACAGTTCCACTAGGCGTACTATGGTAAAAATGAAAATACGTTTTCGCAAAAAAAACCTCTTCTATTTACTTTTCATTGAGAACATAAAACTCCTCTTCTCTACATGCTATCAATTAGAAAAGTATTTTAATATATTCTTTCTTCTAGTTTACACTGAAAGATGTACAAGAATTAATCGAAATAAATTAATAAAGATTGATCGACTCAACAATTGAATTCTAATGTCACCAAGACAAGGCGAAGATGCTCGCGGAAGAACAAAAAATGAGCAAGAGTTTTCACGAAGAAACAAATAGAAATTCTCAGCAATTTGAAACATTACCTGTTGAAGCTGAATCACTTACACAATTTCATACAAATTATATCATAAAGTATGACCTATTCAACATTAAAGTGTTTTCTAGAGAGATAAACTGACCAAATTCATTCACGATCTATATAAACGATATGAAATCATTTAATCGATTACTCAAACTAAACACCTGCAGTGAATAGAGAAGCCCGTTGTATCTAACCTGAACAAAAATAAACAACATAAGATATTGGATAGATTAGATCATTACTTTTTAGTATTCAATTATAGCTCTATTTTAAGTAGTCAATATTTTTATATTGTATATTTTCTAGCTATAGATACATCAATTTCTCTTGTAATCTGAAAAATATATGCATACCTAATGCTCAAAGATAGCTGTTGCAGAACTTTGAAATAGAAATTACAGATGCAATCATATCTTTTCGTTATAAGTTTATGCAGAGTTCAGAAACAAAATGATATCTACTTTTATGAACTTGACAGAGATATGGACAAATCCTTTGCTGAAAAATAAAACATCTTACAAAGAAGAACGGTGATCTTTTCAAATTATGTAACTGTCTACCGAACTCAATAATAAAAAATAGTGTAAGATGATATAATAATGCTTGTAAGAGTTAAACTATTGATTACTTAGAAATAAGAGACTCTTTTCTCATAATCAAAGACTTATTTTATTTTTCTGCTAGGATAATTACAATATATCTCATTTCACTTCTGAATTGTGTACAAACTTCTATGATGAAGTTGTCTGGTAAAGTCATATCGGTATAAGTAAATTTTTCAAAAGTCGACTATTTCTTAGTTAAATGTTGTATCAGTCACAACTGCTTGCATGCACATAAGGATTCACCGAGTGTTGCAGGATGGATGATCATATAGATGTGAAAATTAGTACAAATAATTCATAACTTTGTTAACTTAGTAGTATAGAACGGAAACAGAACTGATAGTCAACTTCTGATTCCAGGAAAAGTACTGTAAGTATTCTGAATTTGGTCACCATTTGAAAATTTTAATGTATCAATTGTTGAACACTCCTATGCTTATAAGTTAATGTATGCATAGCTGCAATAGAAGTCCATATTCAAACTGTTGACTTGGAAAACAAATTAGGAGCCCGGTGAACTTCTATTTGAGGGGAGGCGAAGGGGTTTAAAGAAATATCGATATTCTTCTTTTAATATATCCCTGACTTTCTTCAAAGAATATTAAACAATAACGAATTATTTATCCAGAGGATAAAGTTAGAGACAACGAGTGAAGACAAAAAACATGGAAATATTACTCGTTGAATTAACAAGGAGAAGGATGTGGATGTTGGTGTTGGACTTTTTTTATCCCACGAACCCATACCCCACTCTACACAAATACAGTTCTCATGAGACACTCAGATAGATCGAATACTATATTTTTTCTGTGCAAACAATTAATATCCTCCTTGCATGAAAAACTGTTTTAATGCAAATGTTGTTTTCGATTGTCATCATGTATATATTCCAAACTTTTGTAGTTACAGTTAATTATTTAAGAATATATAGACAGAAAAAAAACTGTTTATCTTGAAGTAATTCAATTTGCGATCTATTTGGACACCTCATTACAGTTATAGCATATTCTCACGAGATATCATCCAGAAATATGCTAGATAATCAGATACCCAACATTTATGAACAACATCCTAGTTCTAATTGCATTGTCTCCGTCGATTCTTCAGTTAGTATATTTGTCTGAAGAGTCTGAGATCATTTCTGAGTACGCGCACGCAGATGCATCTATGCAAGCAACTGAAAAAATGCTAGTAAAAACGAAACAAGTACTAAAATATTCTCGCTCTTGTAAATTCCAGGAGTGCCTTATAAATACAACTGTGAAAGAGTATTATATTTTGTTGCTTTGACGCAGTGAAACAAGCTATAATAATGCTGATCGCCGTCTCCATGCTCATGAAAGAAACAATTCCAAGAACAGAGCAAAATGTTGATTGAAGAAACCTTGTTCTAATAGATTAACATGATCATCACAGCAGAAATTTAAAGGAAACAGACTTACAGATACAGAAATTGCACTCGAAATATGAATGTCATCCGAGATACTTTGCTGATTGGATGTATCATGAATCGAATCGGTAGATCACCTTCTACAGCAAACACAAAGTTCAAGAATAGTGAAGTTCTAACAAGAAAATGCAATTCATATTCTCCAATAATCCTTATTTAAAGAAAAACGATTGGTGTACCAGTTTGTAGTACTAGCAAAGACACCGTACTATGAATCCGCTACTTTTTCATCCTCTGAATTTTCTGATCATCGCCTTATGTTCTCAGTATTGAAGGAACTCTTCATAATTGTCGTAACTTTCAACAATAATCAATGTATGAGAACAGATTTTGAGGTCATTGTTCAACAAAGTCTATCAGTTGGTTAGCTGCTTCAAGTTGGGGCTATATTCAATCTACAGAGTTTAGTGAGTAAATCAGCACCCTAAAGTAGATCATTTGATTGAGTCTTTGTTGCTTCAATATCGATTTTTTAATGCATTTTTCTGGTCGACTTCCAGTTTGCCAGAAAAATCATGCTTCTGATTTTGGGCCTGGAACGCCGTTTGCATAACGAACTTCTATCTAAACAGTATTCTCAGTAAAAATTTCAACAAGTGTGTATAGGTGTGAAAGTCTGTATTCAGCTCATCTAGACTCACAATCCTGCGACATACATCCACTCACACTCTTGACTCTTTTAAGTCCAATTTCATCTCATGGATAACATATAGAACGCAAAACACCCAGTTCACATTCTATGTTCTTTCTATATGCTGTATATTATTTCTACCGTCAAAGCACAACGTATATTCTTTGCTGCGAATATCTTTTTTCCACACAATAAATTAGCGAAGACAGAAGTCGTATATGACTGACCATCGAAGACAGAACATAAGACAGTGGAAAACTCGGATTTATTCCAACTTGGTGTTGCGAAACTTGTCAGGATTGAAAACGTGGAAAAGTGAAGCTTACTGTAAAATTTTTTCATAGATGTGACTCAGCTTCTACATTATCATGAACCCATTGCGAGAACATTGAAAAAGTTGACGCCATTATTTGTTAATATTTGGTTTAAAATAATTCATAGGAAAAACTTACTCGTATTTCTAGTTGTGACAAATGTTGAATCTGAAGGATTCAAAAACCTGTACACATATAAAAGTAAGCGTGCTCGTGTTTGTTGCGCAGTGATAGATACAATCTAATAACGTTTTGATGTGTATTTTCAAGACGGAGTGTCTTTTTTCATTGTTCGCACGTAGATCATACATTATTTTTAAATGATCACGTTTGAATAATTTCTTGGTTGGCATTTTTTTCCTTCAGAAGTAAATTTGAAAGGTACGCCGTTATTCAGAATAATTATAACTTTCATTAACAAATCATAATTAATTATTTATATCGACACTCAAATCAGCATGGTTGGAAAAAATCTACAAGAGAAAGTAGAACAAAAAAATTCAACATTTCGCAATTAGACGAATAGAGGAGCTACAGAATGTCTTCCATCGCAAAATGAACTTTTCACGAATGTGAATAGCTGAGAATGCATTCAGCATTTATTTCATAACTTTTCAGAGACACATTTTAATGGATTGATTATTTGGATTGAAAGGCTTTTGGAAATACTCTTTCATTTACGACCATAAAATATAGGGATCAAAATTTACTAGAGTATGACGATGTACGATAGAGTATTGAGGGTGTGGGTGTGGATGTTGGCATGGGATATAGGTGCGGGTGTGATTGGGTCGGGATGTTGGGAACAAGAATACCCACATCCCACCTCGACTCAACCATACCCACACTCATGCTCCACACTCACACTCACACCCACACCCCACACACACCCACACCCACACACACCCACACCCA